TTATTATATAAACTCAAAAGTCCCGGTTTGACTTGAACGCCCCTCGTATTTAATCATCAAGAGATAGGGACAGAGTTTTGAAACATTGCCCAAGTGTAGGATTTCGATCTCTTCTTGGAGAACGTTTATCTAAAACCAAACACTTTTTGGATAAAACCTTGTCATTTTTGCGTGTGTGTATGTTTATGTTTTTTGGGGGAGTTTTTTGCTGTCTGTGTCTTGGGGAGACTTACTTTTACGTTTACTTTCTGTCCCATAGACATAGCAGGGAGTGAGAGGCAATTTATCCAAAGTAAGGGAAATCCCTTTTAGACAGCTCTCATCAAAACAAGTGTCTCTGCTGAGATTTCCCTCTATTCCTGTTCCAGTGATAACTCAAAAGTTTGGATTTTCTATGTTTTGCAGTATGGTTGGCAAAAGTCACCAGAGCAAATGCTGAGAGCAAATCCTTCCAGTTGAGACACAAAAAGCAATACAACTTGACAAGAATTCTAACCTGTCCCTACTCTATCCAAATAGAATGTATGTATTGGAAAATCGTGGCCTGAATTTGAAGATTCCTTTTTTATGACATCAATAAAAAAAATCAAAGTAATAATTGGGTTTGATGCCTCCCTGTGTTACATGAATGACAATACTCCTATCAATATGTTGAATTATGTATTTCCTGTCAGTTGCGTTGCCAGTTATACATCACTCCCTGTAAATCAGGAAAATAAAATAAACGGAATAGACAGTGGTCTGTTTTAAATGCTGATTTATGCATTGACATAATTCCATAGACCCAGTTTGTCCAGATAGTAGGGTTACCTACTTGGCACCATCCATAAGCAGGGTATCTCTTCAATAAGACACAAAATTTTAACGAAACTGAATTTAACTTCAGAAAAGTGCATTACAGAGGTTTTTTTCCAGTCTTTTGAAGTGTAAGAAGACACAGAAAACAATAACTTTCCTAAATCCTTACACTGAGGCAGAATAGGGAGGGGTCTCTAGCTAGGGCTGAACTAACCAGCACTAAACAAGGAAGGATGACAGAGGGAGATACCAAATCACATAAGTAAAGAAGTTGTAGTGGCCCTATATCACCATTAGATGTCAACATACATCAGAATAATAGTAACCTGGCACAGTTCAATTCAACAACAGAAAAATGCATATAGGTAGGACAGAACAGACCAAAGTCTACTTCAGACACGTAGAGATCATTCAATAGTGTACAATATGATCCTATTTTTACAGGTTTCCAGTTTTTATTCCTATATGTCTCTTATACAGTAATCTACAGTATCAGTACATTACTGGTCAACAGAAAAAAAACCACAGAAAATTCTAATCACCTGAGCACTCCATATTCATGTTGGAATTATACCATTAGGTACTTATCCAAAGGTGAATTCTGAACTGCCTTTCACTTGTATGATCAGAATCAATCATTTAAGGCAGAATGAACCGGCTGTTAGAAGTTACAAAATGCTACTGGATTAGTATAAACTGATTTATTTCTAATATGTGATATTACTGTTAGATTCCCAGGCTCTTTTCTTGCATACGGTATATATGACTGCCATCTGGTGTGGTACTGTGCACTTTGGCAGGCACTCAGAAGAATGGCTTGTTGAAGCCAGCAGGTGGAGGGCACAGAAGGGCAGTGACAAAAAAAGCATTATAATGAAGGAAACATTTTACAATTGCACCAGTTAGTATGGTCAATATTATTGCTTCTTTTTATCAATGCATAGTGGCTGTATCTAATTTGTACAGACAGTGCCATGTTTCCTAGATTTGTTTCCCTGTGAATTTTTAGTCTTTGGTAATGTCCCTGATTTTGAACAACTTCACAACATAAATCACCATTTACCTAATTTTGCATTTCATTTTCTTTTTAATAATGGTTTCTGCCTTTAACTAAATATTTTAGGATTAGAAACGAGTATTAAAATGCAAAAAGCTAATTAAATAGATCTAGTTAGTAATATTCCATAATTTTAGCTCTCCTTCTAGGAAAATTTGGTTTATTTAAAAACACAATCACATAATACAATACAGAGAGCCTTTACTATATGCATCTAGTGAGCAACACATTACAACCAATTGGTTTTAGGTTAGTCTAAAGCTGGACATACATGTGTCAGTTTTTTTTGATCAATCAGTGGCCGATTGAAAAAAACTGAACAGATTGCCTCATCCACACAAGCGAGATGGATAGAGGAATCATTCCCACTGTGTTATTGTAGTTTGACAGTGGGGACTCCCAGAACAAACATTTTCCAAAAAGCTCATTTGTGAAAAGTCATTCATTGGATCGACTTCTCACGAACAGGAACAGTCATAAATGGATTGATGGATCGAAATTTGGCCGATCCCTGCCGAACCAGCTGAATTCCAATCCATCGTTGGCTAGCTCAAATGAAAAAATTGTTGTCTTGAATTTGTTGTTTCTTGGTGTGGCTTTGAATGAGCCTTGTCAGCACCACTCCTGATCTGTACATAATATTCCTCTTGTCTTGGTACTTCTATACTTCTCTTCTATCCTTCCATACAAAAGTGGGCGAGAGTGACAAAGATTTTAAAAAATGACGTGCTCTCCAGTTCTTGTTTGAGAGCAGGAGGATAAAACCAGCCATAATTGATTTAAATCTTGGCCAGTTCAGCAGGGACTGTCGAGATTCGGACCATCTATGGGCAGGCTGATTGTACCCAGTTTGACTGTTGTATGATTTTGGTACAACCAGCATGTTGGATTTTTACAGCCGATTATTGCCAGCAGCTATAGCCGGTAGCAATAATCACTGTGTTCTGCTGGCAGGGACAGCTCTCCATGTCCCTGGGAGAACACAATAGCTCAGCAGGAGGGAATCCCTCCATCAACACTGACTGTGGTTGGAGGAAAGAAAAACACATCATCTATGCCCTGCCTAATGCTGCCACCTTGTAGAGAGCACTCCAGTTCTGCTCACACAATAAGAAGCCTAGTCATTTAGTCATAGGATCAAAACACAAAGGGAAGAATCAAAGGTCATACTGACTTCTTTGGAGATCTTGTTTAAAAAGGTGCAGGCATTGAGTCTTGTGACCTGTGTTGAAACTGTGCATTACCTGGGTGAGGATGCCTAGTCCATAACCCCATAGTTATATATTTGTAGTGTGAGCTGTAAGGCACAGCTTGTCTATGGAGATTTGGAGTGAGATTTGGTAATGTAACTACTGTGCTGTTCACTGTTGATTTTAATGGAGGATCTGAGATAAGGAAGCAAAGCCCTGCCTCTAACCAAGATACATACCTCCCAACTATCCCTGATTTCAAGGGACTGTCCCTGATTTGGAACAAAGTCCCTCTGTCCCTCTTTCCTCCTCATTTGTCCCTCATTTTGGTCTGATCTATATAGTTGTATATAAAATTACCTATTTATCTTTTAAAAAGTGTTTCCCAGTTCTAAACCTTTCATCCAGTTTCTAAATTGCTGCATTTGTAAAATACAAAAGCCAGTGTAAAGGAAAAGCATTGGTAAAAAACAAGCACTTGTGAGTTTAGTCTATTTTTTTGTATAATTCTCCTTTAAGGTGGCATGGCGGGGGGTGTCTTAAGCCTACATATGTTTGCTAATAGGTGTCCCACATTCCCATCTTAAAAAGTTAAGAGGTATAAAGCTAGCCTCCTCCACACAGGGACACAGTGCAGAGCAAGGCTTGGTAAAACTGCTATAAGGAAAGATCAGCTCCAGGAGACTACATGCAATATTGGTGACTAGTCCTTTTTTTAAGCACAGGTATCAGAGTTCAGTTACAGCTGACATTTAATCTGCTAATATATTTTTCCTTCCCTTGTCCCTCCTTTCCAAACTTATCAACATCCTACTGAAATGTTTACAATATTTTTTTTTTTAATTCACATTTCACTTGTTCCTTCCCAACTTATCAACATCCTAATGAAATATTTAAATCATTATTTATTTAAAGTCACATTTCATTTTATTGTTTTGTTTTTATTTACGAACATTATTTTAGGCTGAGTAATGGCATCACTAGGTCTCTGTGCTCTTTATGCAATGCAGGCAGATTGTGGCTGGTGGGAGGGCCATAGCTCCTTAAAAATGTCACAGCACCCTGCTTAAGTAATCAGTTCTGATGCAAGCAGTGGGCTGGCTCTGCTTGCATCAAAATGCCTTCAAAATACCTTCATATGTGGATGTCAGTCTGGAAGAATGGCCATTTCTAAATAGGCTGCATTTGCATGCAGACTGTCGCATGAAGTGACCCACTGTTATGCCTCCATTGTTGAAAGAACTGAAATCTAAATAATGAAAAGGATGGGCCAGGGACATTAAGGCTGGAGAGGAAAGAGTTAGATAATGCTGCATGTTCATCAACCAGGAATGGAGACGATTTTGTCTGACTTGCTGCAGGTTTTAGTGCACACTGTGAGGAGCTCAAAGTATACAGTAAAATCAGAGTAAGGGATTTCAGTATGGGGGGGCTGAATAACTGTACAGGATCGAAGGTAAGGCTGGTGTTCAGCTTTAAGTTAACATTTGAATATAGATCCACTAAAAGATAGAAACAACAGTGTATAAGAATGTTACCAATACAGCAATATTGAATTCTGGCCATGTGGCATGATTATGTCTGGAAAAGGGACATTATGTCAGCTGGCCCATGTCTATATATTTAATATTTTATATATTCCTCCTCTTGAGGCCAGGTGTGGACATAGAATTGGAAACTGTATTTTAATATTGTTAGCTATTGAAACAAGTTATGGATTGTAATCTGTAGCCTGTTTTACTTTGCTGATTCCAGTCTACAGTGACCTTCGTAACAAGATCAAGGTAATGATTTGCTTTGCTCCATTCCCATATTATATGTAGTAAGTGATATTACCTGTCAATTGAAGGATATATAGAAGCAATAAAACAATATCACTGCGATATACTGTATTTAAATTTTTTTACTTATAGCAAAATGTTTATTCCTCATGCTATTTTGTTTTCTAATTAACAGAGACAAAGTAATAAGAATTATTCCGAAGAATGATAGCGAGGCTGATGAATTAAAGAACATGTACCAACAGCTTCAGGTAAGTAAGTCAGCTTAATTTTAATTTTTAGTGATTAAGAAGTAGGTCTACCCAAAACAGGCTTTTCATTAAATCTGTCAATCTGTACTGTTTTGAATTTTCTTGTTGTTCTGTATTTCCTTTCTTTAATACTGTTCTTATGCCATAAATAGCTAAGTATGCCTATTCATTGTATTCTTTAGTATACTTTAGTGCTTTGTGTAATTTGTACTCCTTACTGGACTCTGCATAGCCAGATGCAACCGGGCATGCTGTGGTGCAGATGGTCGTTTGTCTTCTAAATTCTACTTTAAAAGAAAATCATAAACAAACATTTGTTTAAAAAGTATGTCTATTCAATGAACTGCTAATTTGGATTAGTATTATTTAAAGGTAAGTGACATATGTGTAGCGCTACGCCCGAAGGAGCCGCTTGTATTATTGCCCAGGTTTCTCCCTTGTTCACCCCACAGCGAGGCACAAAGTATTTTCAACAGCCAGCTACATACACTCTTTTCGCTCGTTGTCTTCAATAACCAGTCTAGAGCATGTTTGCTTTTGGAGTTTTATTGTAGGACTGGGGATAGGGAAGGGGAATTTAGCAGGATACCCAAAATTAGAGCTATTCACACTGAGGAAATCTAGTCCATCTCTTAGTTTGAGCACTGTTTAAGTCCTGGCTGAAAGCAGTTTGTATTAGTTGTAGGAGAAGGTCAAGGGAGACAGGGAGATTTCACAGCAATTTGTTCCATGTTCTGTACCACCTCGCCTGGACTTCAGCCCTGCAAAGGACCCTTTTGGTCACTCTGCAGGAAACTAGCAGCTCTGGGGGTATCCTCACTTCCATGACCCATTACCCTGGGCTCTGCCCACTCCAACCGTTACATCACTAGAGGGAGGATTTTTTTAAAAGGGAAGCTAACACTCCTGAATACATTTCAACTTTCCCCTTTACAATACTATAAATGGGAACAGAGCTCAAAATTTTTACTAGTGGCTCTTATGTTTTTCTAATTGTCCTAACTTAACAGGACTACAGAGCACCCTCTTTTTTTTTTAATTCCTTTCACTCTCAGTTACAACAAAAAGAGTTAAATTTTTTATTTTCACAAAAGAACATTTCATTTTTTGTTTTTTTTTAGTAACACAGTTCAGTACACAGGAAATTTAAAGAGTCTTGTTTTCCCTAAAAAAATTTCAGCCTGATAAAATGTAGAGAACCCTGCTTTTTTTAATCAGCTTTCACTGGGCTAAGGGTCTGCTTGTAAAATGCTTTTATATCCATTTTTTTTCTTGAGTTTTAAATACTTTTCAAAATATCATTTTTTTGCATCAGCACGTGTACTTTTAAATATAACCCTTTTGTAACTGCTGGATCCAAGATGACAAACATCTGTAAATAATGAATTGATGCTGCCAGGGAAAACCCTTGGTGGCCCTATTAAAAAAAGACCCCAAAATAGACGATTTTATGTGATTTGCATTTATTTTTTAACGAAAGGGGATTGCAGGAGGAGACCAGTGTGGCTGGGGGGGCCTTATGCAGGATTGCTTGAAATTTAAAACAAATAATCCACTAGAAAGCTAGAAGCACAGGGAAACAGAATGTTAACAGTTAATCATTGAATTCTGGCACCACTGTGGCCATTTTGTTGGATTACAGTTTAGTGACCAAAATGTTCAATAACCCCCATTTTTCTGAAATTGAGTGTTTTGATGGCCAGGTGTTTTGAATTGGAAACTTTGATCAAGGTAATATTGTTAGCTATTGAAACATCTTGCTTACATTTACTACTAAAAAATCCAGTCACTTGACTTAGGTCAACAAATATAAAATAACAGTTATAATGAAATAACCATTCCCATTTTATTGTGCTAATTATGTCAGTTTTATATTTAACCCCCAAGTTACAATAATCTTATACTTAGCGATATAGCATCCTATTTAAAATTATTTTTACTTACAGTTAAATAACAGCTTTTTTTTTTGTGAAGCATAGCTTGACACAAGTAATTTAAGCCCCGGAAGAATGCAGCGATCTACGGGTATCTTTTGCCCATTTTTTCATGGGCAAATGGCCAGTTTTAGTCACATTTTAAATTTTTGTTTCTTTATTTTATTTTTTTTTTTAATTTGCGCACTGCAACTGCTTTCTTTAAGTCAGCTTACTTTTAAGGTTTCAGTGATCGAAGGATTTAAAACAGGCTTTTCATTATACTTTGTCCCATCTCCAAAATGTTGTTCTGTCATTTCCTTTTCTTTAATACCATGCTCATAAATAGCTAAGTTGCCTAGGTATGTATTTTTTAGTATACAAGTGCTTGTTGTAATTTGTACTCCTTACTGGACTCTGGCATAGCCAGATCAACCGGGCATGTGTGACGGACTGCAGATGGTCGTTTGTCCATCTAAATTCTACTTTAAAAGAAAATTCATAAACCTTTTGTTTTAAAAAGCTGAATCTTCAATTTTTACCTGCAATTTGAAGCAGTTATTATTTAAAGCCCCAAAGTGACATTGACCCTCCACCTGCTTTCGCCCGAAGGCAAACCGCTTGTATTATTCCAAAGGTTTCCCTTGTTCTTCCCTCCAGCGAACATAGCGTTTTCAACAGCCCAAACAAAGCATTTTTTTGTTTCATACTCCCACAGAACACTTATCCCCACAACTTTTGTTTTTTCCACAGAAACTTTGGCCCCAAAATTAGACTAATTCAACCACTGAGGAAATTAGCTGAAATTGTTAGTCTTTGAAGTCCTGGCTGAACAGTTTGTATTAGGGGAGTACAAGCCTGGAGACAGGAGATGACAGCAATTTTTTTCCTGTTCATGTACCACCTGCCTGGGACTTCAGCCCTGCAAAAGGACCCTTTGGTAGCTCTGCAGGACACTAGCAGCTCTGGGGTATCTCACTTCCTCATGCATCTACACTGGGACTTTTTGTATTTTAGTTCCAACGCTTACATCGCACAGCAGTCCGAAGGATTTTCTTTCTAAAAAGGGAAGCTAACAGAATTACAACTTTCCCTTTTTGCGAATGATCTGTCAGAGCTACCTAGGTAGTTTAAATGCCCTTGCAATCAACAGGGACTACAGAGCATTGCCTCTTTTGTCCTGTGGTTCTCAGTTAATACAAAGGGAGTTTTTTGTAGTTTCCAGAAGAACATTGCTTGAGATTTAGTTCACATGTTTGTAACCACACCAAGGAAATGTTAAAAGAGTTCAGTATCACAGTCAGAGCTGCCTAATTGGTGCATTATTCACTTTGCCTTGATAATAGAAATGTAATCGGCTTTCACTGCTAAGGTGTTTGGTAAGCTACAAAAGCACATTTATTTCCTCTGAGTTTCAGAAATACTTTTTCAAAATTGAATATTTTTCAAATAAAAACCACATACTTTAATATATAACTTTTAACTGCTGATTACATAGATGACAAACATTTTGTAAAGATTGATGCTGCATAAAACCCTTGGTGGTGGCCCTATTAAAAAAAGACCCCAGCAGTGATTGGATTTCAAAGGGGATTGAAGGAGACAGTTCCAAATGCAGATAAAACTCAAACCCTAAGCGCAGAGAGGCCACTCCAGGTCAGAAACATGTGAACAGTTAATCATGAGCTTTTGGTTGTTAATCATGTAGCAACCCAGGAGCTTTTTTTTTCAAAGAAGTGGAATATTCTGCAATGGCCGAGTCAATCATCTGATCTCAGTCCAACTGAGCATGAATTTCACTTGCTGAAGGCAAAACTAAAGACAAAAAGCCCCACAAACAAAGAACAACTGAATAAAGCTGCAGTTAGAGCCTGGTAAAGCATCAGACAGGAGGAAACCCAGTCTTTGGTCATATCCATGGGTTCCAGACTTCAATCAGTCATTGCCAGTAAATGATTCTCAACCAAATATTACAAATGAACATTTTATTCCTTATTATATCCATTTGTCCAATTACTTTTGGTCCCTTGAAAAAGGGGGGATGGCTATTCTTAAGAACTGTAATTCCTAAACCCTTCCTCCAATTTGGATGTACATACCCTCAAATTAAACCTGAGAGTGTGCACTTGCAGCCCATATCCATTTTATATCTATAGCTTGAATATGTTTTGGTAAATACCTGAAAAAAACTAAAATTTTGCCTGTGTCCAAATATATATAGACCTAACTGTATATGAGAGATATTTTTGTATACAAATGGTATTCCTTGTGTTCAGTGCTTTACCTAGTTTTTTGTTTCTTTTTTTCATAGTGTTTCTGTCCTGCATGACAGTTTGTCTCCATGTTACAATGCCTATGGTAAAACTATGTCTTTAAATAAAATCTGATTTTAAAAAAAGATTGATGTTGCTCTATTGGATTGCGTACATAAATTTAAAGCTGCAAAGGTTTACCTTAAATCTTATTCTAGAGGTGAAAGGGTCATAAATATGCCTTTATAACTTTCATTTCCAGAGCTTCAAATTATCATGAATAAATTTAAAATTTGTGGATTACTCATCTGATGTGGTTTGTCTCATTTATTAAAATTCCTAATTCTATTTGTTGTTATTTTTATAGAGACAAGGTAGAGAACTGAGCAAGCCTAGAGCGCTGTGTTCATTTTTAGCACAAATAGTATTTTGATACACTGCCTGGAGCCATAGCGCTCCAATTAACGTCTTACATCTGGCTATGACATTTTCTGTTCTTTGTCCCTTGTCTTTATACTGTGAGAAGAATTAGGTTACATACAGTATTTTATATAAACTGCATTTATTTGAATGTCGACCTGCATCTGTGCTGTGTAAAATAGTCAGTACTCACAAATATGTGGAAGTATTTCTTCTGAACCTGAAATATTTCTGTATTATAAAAAGTTCTGAAGTTGCTTTAATGCATTGTCCCCCGCTCCCTCTTAAGGACTGGCACCCTTGGGGAGCGGGTACTTGAATTTGACAGGTACCCGCTCCCACTTCCACTGCAATTGCCTAAGGCAACCGGAAGCAGACATGTGAGAAGTCCCAGAAGACTACAGGACCATTCACA